AGAGGGGCTGGGAGACAGGTTACCTGCAGAGGTAACCTCCCGTTTCTTCCTCCACACCCCACAGTGCTGTATCGACCTGGAACACCGAGTGCTGCGGCTGAAAGCCCCCTTCCCAGAGCTGCCCTTCCTGCCTTTGTACCCAGAGCCTGGCCAGTGACTGCCGGCCCCATCAGTCCCCAGGGGGCAGTCCTGTGACTTAGGGAAGAGCCATGTGGGGTATGGGGACATTACTACAGCCAGGTAGCTGGGGATCGCTTTGTCTGTGCCTTCTGTCACCACCCTGATCCTGCTGTTCCATTTCCCTGTCGGCCACATCTTCTCTGCTTCTTGGCGACTTCGCTATCCCCCAGGAGTTTTCCCAGAGAGGGCCCAGGATCTCAGGGCTCTGGTTTCCCTGTTCTCTCTCATTCCCCTCCAGAGAAGAGCAAAGCCAAACCAGGTCTGCAGAAAATGACACAGCGTCCTGGCCAGTGTGGCTCAGTTGGTTGGGTGTCATCCTGTGCACAGAGAGGTTTGCCAGTTTGATTGCCAGGCAGGGCATATGCTCAGGTTGTGGGCTCGGTACCCGGGGAGGGACATGCAGGAGAAGATGTCTCCCTCTCACATCGATGTTTCTCTCTTTCCCTTCCTCTCTCTCTAAAAATCATTTTTAAAAGACCTTTTTAAAAGATTATACAAGGAAAATGGGGTTACAGGCTAGGCCAGCCGTGGGCAAACTACGGCCCGTGGGCCGGATCCGGCCCATTTGAAATGAATAAAACTAAAAAAAAAAAAAAGACCGTACCCTTTTATGTAATGATGTTTACTTTGAATTTATTAGTTCACACAAACACTCCATCCATGCTTTTGTTCCGGCCCTCCGGTCCAGTTTAAGAACCCATTGTGGCCCTCGAGTCAAAAAGTTTGCCCACCCCTGGGCTAGGCCCTGGCATGGTAGAAACTGGCCTCCACCTATCCCCTGCCACCCCAAACCTCCTCGACTACCTTCACTCCCACATCTCTCACCTCACTTTCTGGACTCATTATCTTTCAGGATTAGATGCCCCACCTCACCAACTAGCTCTCCAGCCCGGCTGGTGCTTACTGTTCTGATTCTGCATACACCTGCTCACAGCTGAGTGGGGGTCGGGGAGACACTGAACAGAATGATTCAACACCCTAGGAAGGTGGCTTGGTAGAGGAATGCCAGCTCACAAGGCTGGGAGCTCTGTTAGTTACCTTTTCTGAGCTTGCAAACATCTGAAGCAAGTTATCATTTGATTACCCTGTGCAAAACCTTGGCTATACCTCTATTTCCTCCAGATATTTGTCCTTCTCCACTTGCTTTTCACCCACTGTGTCCCTGAACTTCAGGGTGTGTGTGCAAGAGCCCTGCAGAGAGCTGCCCCCAAAGGTGAACGGGATGGAGGGGTTGTCAGTACTCAAGACTTCACCTGACCAGTAGATCTTCTCATTTCTAGAACTATCCACCTCATTAGACCTTCTTCCTACCCCTCATCTTGGGCTTCCTGAGCTAGACCTTGTCTTGTTTTGGAATCAGTGGCTTTCTATCCCCTGGCGGGCTCTAAGCCAAAGCAAAGGGACAAGGAGGCTCTTCCGACTTCACTGTGGAGAAGAATCCAAACCTTAAGAAGCTAGACCCCCGAGTGTCTTTCTGGCTGGTTTGAGCCTTTGAAATCATGGATGAGTGGTAGACAAGAGAGTGGTGTAACTAACCTGACCTAGGGAACTGGGACCTTAGGCTGGAAACACAATCTTGAGCGTGGGGCAGGTTAGAGAAGAACCAGGATGCAAGGAACTGCCCTGTGACACCCGGCCTTACCTTTCTCGGCTAAGTCCCCCGCCCTCACAGGGCGAGGAGAGGGGCTCACTATCACAGTGTGATAGGACCCTGGTCCCTCACTGCCTGGCTCCATGGCCTCCGCTTTCCTGGTCTCACCCTGCTCCTTTCACTTCTGTCTCCTGCTGCTTCTGTAATTGTAGACAGACTGCAGACCCCAGGCCCTATGGCTGGCCCTCAGCTCAGCTGCCTCTCCATTTGAATAAACACCTGTTTCTCTATGGTGATGTCCTCCTTTGTTCTTCTTCCATGCCCACCAGAGCTGAATGATAACTCTGCCCGTATTCCCTTACAAAAGGAAATGTGAATGTGGACCCTTCCCCAGCATGACCCCTCAGGCTGGGGTCAATAAAATTGAGAGCAATAGCTTTCAAACTCCTTTGAACATAATTTAAAGAAGGAAATACAGTTTATATTATACTCAATATACACATACAATTATAACAAAACAATGTTTTCATATACTGTGAGCAATATACTTTATTTTTCATTCTATTATATTCTATTTCATTTATTTAAAAAATGCTGACCACATCCCACTAAAAGATTGCAACCTACAATTTGAAAGATACTGATTTAAAGCACACAGAATTAAGAGCAGAAGGGATAGAAATGGCCCAAGATAGAATTCTGATTATGGTCTGGATCATAAATCTGCATCAGGTTGTAAATGTCTATTGTCTGATGGACAATAAGGTGTTTCTGTGGAAATGGGGGGTGGGAAATGGAGCGAGGCCTAGGAAGCTGTGTGATACTTGAAGAACATGGCAAAACGAGAGGCTGCTGGCCCAGGTTCTTTGGAAAATAGAGCAAAATCATCTCAGGATTGCTGGGGACACAGAAAAACCAGACTGTGAAATGTCCTGAAAGGCCCCTCAATAACAAAGCCGACAGTTTGCCATTCTTGCAATAATCGCCACTGTCGGGGACCTGGAGCTGTGACATGAAGATGGAGCTTAGGATGGGGCAGAGGCCTTACCTCACAGCTCCACTGGCCCTGAAGCCTAGTTTCCTCACAAGTGTCAGTGCCACACAAAAGATTGGTGCTCCTTCCTCACAAACAAGTCTGTTTTCCATTCGAGACCGGGGAGTTTTGGGGAGGGGGCAGTCCCAGATGATGTGGAATAAGGTCAGGGTCCTACAACCCTGCTGATGTGATGGGTGAGGTACACAAGAAAATGGGCAGACAGTCAAGTTGTCTCTTCTTTCACCGAGAAGACCATGAGATCTATAGTTCACAGTTACCCTCGGGTTGCTGCCATCTGTCCATGCTCCTCTGTAGTATACATTCCCTCTCCTGCCAATACCATGGACACCTTGGGGGTAGAGAGGTTCAGAGGATCCTTATTCAGCTAAGAGGGAAAGCCCCGCTAGGTGGGATCCTGGAGGCTTGCAGGAGCACACTGTGGTGGCTGGTCAGGATGGTAGAGGGTTTGGTGAACCAGGGTGCGGGCTGCTGGGAGGTCATCAGGATCTGAGGGCAAGAAAGGGGCTGGTAAGAGGCTGTGGCTCTCCTGGACCCCCCGATTTTCTAACCCTGCAGCTTGCTGGGACTCACCCAGGCCCAGCTCCTGCAGCAGGCCCTGGTACTCGGGCTCAGCCTCTAGCAATTTCAGCAGATTGGTAGACTCCATCCGCTCAAGCTGCACCTCCCAGTACACATAGATCTTCTGGTTGAATGTGACATACACGAGGCAGGGGCTGTTGCAGCCCTCTTTGCAGGCATACAGGCCTGGGAGGTGGGTGGTGAGACAAAGGTCCAGAAGTTTCAGTCCAGTGGTGGGAAGGCAAGAACAAAATACGAGTCAGCAGTTTTGACCCTCCTACAGATGCCAAGCAGAAAACTAAAGGCTCTCTTTCTAAGTCTTCTCTGATGGGAACTCAGTAAAATAGGTAAAACAGAAACGATCTGGCCCCATTCCAGGTATAGAAAAACTATTGTACAAAACCCAGGCAGAATAGCATTCAAATACGTGCTACTTGATTTGACTAGTCTTGCTAATCTAAGGGGTAAATCAGCAAAATGTAACCAGAAACTAAGGTTTCTCTGAGGTGGCAACTCCTGTGCAAAGGCCCTGGAGTAAGTATGCCAGCGCACTGCCCAATTCTTCTCACTTCGGTAACCACACGTATCTCCACGTCATCCCGAGTGCTGGTTTCCAAGGTCCCGACTGGGAACTAATGGGAATGTCCTAGGACAGCGATTTTCTACCAGTGTACCACAAGAATTTTTAAAACATGCAATACCTGACTATTTAGTCAGGGGCACTGTTCTCTTTTCCCTTAGATTGTGAATAAAAAATGACAGCAGCCAGCACAACAGCTGTCCAGCGTGAAAGAATCAAAATTATACTTTTTTTGGTCAGAATGGCAAAAAATATATTTTTGCATGTGCTGCAGGATATTAGTGATAAGCTTATTAGTGCCATGAGAGGAAAAAGGTTGAACATCACTGGGTTAGGACCATGTTCTTCACAGAGTTTTGATATACTCAGATGGAAAAGAGCTTTCTGATGTCTTCATACAGATAGATAAGAAATCATACATTCTGCCCTGGCTCAGTAGATAGAGCGTCAGCCTGTGGACCGAAGGGTCCCAGGTTCGATTCTGGTCAAGGGCACATGCCTGGATTGTGGGCTCAGTCCAACATGCAGAAGGCAGCCAATCAATGATTCCCTCTCATCATTGATGTTTCTATGTCTCTCTCTTCCTCTCCCTTCTTCTCTGAAATCAATAAAAAAATGAAATCATACATTCTTTAAAATATTCAGAAATAGAGATCTCACTATTTTTTTTTTCTTATTTAAAACTGTAAAGATGGCAATTGAGCCTGGCTGGCATGGCTCAGTGGTTGAGTGTCAACCTATGAAACCAGGAGGTCATGGTTCAATTCCTGGTGGGCCACATGCCCAGGTTGTGGGCTCGATCTCCAGTAGGGGGCGTGCAGGAGGCAGCTGATCAATGATTCTCTCTCATCATTGATGTTTCCATCTCTCTCCCTCTCCCTTCCTCTCTGAAATCAATAAAAATATATATTTTTAAAAAAGATGGCAATTGAGTACTCACCTATCACCCTCCAATGAAAGAGCTAAGGAACTCATTTGTTTATGAAGATTCACATTAGGGGACACACTGAGAATGGAAATAAGAGGCAGACAGTGTGTTAGGGGGGTGTGGGGCAGGGGCCCACCTGCACAGAAAGCTCGGACATTCTCATCCACTTGGAAGCGGACGACTGTGCGGTTGTGATCAATGATATACGTCTGCCCGTCCCAGGCACAGGCAACCACCTCCTCGTGCCCGTTGCCCTGAAAAAGGTCAGAGACAAGATTGTAAGGGGTGGCCAGGAGCCATTTTAGAAAGAGATCTAATGACAGGGCTGGATAGAATACTGTATAAGGAGCTGTGGACTTGGCTCTGATGACAAACCACCAGCTGGGAAAGAAGACAACCATATGTTTCTTACTGAATTTCTCCCATGTGCCAGGCACCAAAGAGGCTGTCAAATGAGCCACCTCACATAATGCTCACAACAACCCTGTGAAGTGGGCAACATTACTCCCAATTTGATACTGAGGGAACTTCAGCTTATAGAAATAAAGTCACGCACTCAAGGCCACTCAGCTGGGAGGCGGTGGAATCAGGCCTCCAACCCAAGCCTGTTCTACCTGACCTCAAAGCCTCAGGCCTTTTCTCCGACACCATTGAGCCTGCATGATGGCAGCACAAAGAACAGCCCCCGTTGTGGATTCAGGAGCCACAGCCT